TTAAATATATATTTTATTGATTTGTTTTACAGAGAGGAAGAGAGAGGGATAGAGAGAAACATCGACGAGAGAGAATCATCGGATCAGTCACCTCTTGCACGCCCCCCACTGGGGATGTGCCCGCAACCAAGGTACATGCTCTTGACTGGAACCGAACCCGGGACCCTTCAGTCCGCAGGCTGACACTATCCACTGAGCCAAATCAGTCTCAGCTGGTATTTCTTTCCCTCTCAAAAGTCCAAATGTGAGCCCCTTCTCCTCAAGTCAGAGATGACTTCCCTCCTGAGCTCAGCTAAGGCCTGGAGTATTGGACAAGTTCTAAGCAAATTGGGAGTAAGAGTTGTTTCTCAGTGTGTTTGGGAGATTTGTGAATATAATGCTAAGAGATTGGTAGAATTCAAAGGTAAATTCTTTTTTTTCTTGTTCCTTCAATCCCAGTCTCCTCCCTTCTTGTTTTTTATTTACAAAAGTAGTATGCATGTTGCAAAAATCACAGGAGTGGTTTTCCCACTCACCTTTTCAAACCTGCTCCCTCCCTACTCTTTGCTAATGTTTGCATTTTAATAGAGAGACAACAACAGAATTTTGAAAGATCCCAAAAGGAGAGAAATCAGAGGCACTGAGAATTAATGATAATAGTAGTAATAGTTATTATAGTGGTAAATAATAATAATCTAACACTTGTGCAATGATTACTGATGCCAGACATGGTTGCATTTAATATTTATTTATTTTTAACATTTAATTTGTTCTGATTGGGAGCATAGATCATCCTCAATCCCTACACATGCAAATTTTGCAGAGAGGGCCCGGAACATTTTCTCTTTCCTACACTGTCTGAACTCCCTCCTTTAGGCTGAAAGGAGGCTGCCTCAGCAACAAAGAGCATTTTGTATGCAGACATCCAGCCTTTTTTTTTTTTTAATTGAAATCTGAATGTGGTGAGTCCAACTAGGGAGTGGGGCATGATTAATTATAGCAACTATCTTCATCTGCCCAGAGGTAAGCCTGAAAGAAATGAGGCCAGGTTGAACAGAAATTCAGCTACGGATAGGTAGGAATGCTAATAAAACTTTGTTAACTGGCCCTTCCTTCTCTCAGAGGCTGATGCAGCGAGCTGGAAGATTTCAGGAATCCGTTCCTGTGTCGCTTGGTTCTGGCCAACCCCAGAATCAACTCCCTTGATTGGAAGTAAACAGGATCTTCCTTTTTGTCCCCAGGAATGTGACAGAGGAAGGACTCCAGGGGAGAGGGCATCTTCTGCCAAAGGATAATAATAACAGTAATAACAAAGATGACAGTAGGAATAAAATATTGCCTTCTTCATCAAGGGCGATAAGGAAATGTCCAGTCATATGTGTTGGACCTTATCACTCTCCATAAGCATGTGTTAAGAGTTCCAGAACCCATAGACCCAGGATTTCCAGTTCAGACCTGATTTGAACCTTCTATTCTGTGATCATCATAAGTGCACTGTACACATTAGGCTGCCTGTCTCAGTTTTGGATTCAGAAAAGAGGACCACAATTATAGTATTTCTCACATTTACAGTACTTCTCGTCAACTTAGTACTGTACATGTCTGAGCACAAATCTCTCCTGAAGGGTCTGTCTTTGTCATGTGTACCCTCTGTGCTTAGCACATGCCTGGGCCTTGGATGCTGGGGCTCAGGGCTGTGGAATAAAGTGGGATGAGGCAGGAAGTGCCTAGAGCTGACTTTCAGTGGGCCATGGAATGGGGTGCAGGAGCTGAGGAAGAATCCAGGTGCCTATAGACACCCTTCCTCTCCCTCAGTGCTCCAGGGGCAGGGGCAGAAAGCGTGTGTTCAAGGAGAAGCTCCAACAAGACTTACCTTCTCTGTTTGCTCTTGAAGAGTCCTTGTATTCCCAAGGAATTATTTGTCTACCACTTGGGCCAGCCCTATCTCAGCATTCCTTAACTCTCTCCTCTCCTGAGGGGAGGTCCATGTTGCAGGAAGAGGGTTACCTTCTGCTATTTCTATGTAACTTCCCTTTTGTTCAAGAAGGTGATGAGGTAGAAGGGTGTTCCTGACCTCTTTCTTCTCATCTTTCTTGGTCTAGAGATACAGATCCTTTTTCTCTTCCTCCTTTTCTCCCCCTCCCCCTCCACTCTCTGCCCCCTCTCAGCAGCCAACTCTTCCTTCTTTTCCTCTTGTTATGTTCTGAACTCGAACTTCCAACATCTGAGGCGGAGTAAAGAGAGGTCGGTCCAGTCTGTTTCTAGAGGAGTCCTCCCCTACTACAGTCAGCAAGTTTCTACTCTGCTCAAGAACTTTCAATAGCTCCCTATTGTCTTCTGTTTACATGTCAAACTCCAAAGCCCACCGGAACTGTATTTATTTTTGATTTCCCCAATTTTCTCTCCCTGACAGTCAACTGGCCTTCCCAGTATGTTCACATAGTGGAGACAAGAGTGGGTCCAGAATTATTCTAGGCAAACCCAACAACTAAAAAATAAGCAGAGGATGTGAGATATAGGAGAAGAGGCAGGAGAGGTAAGGATTGTTGGAATGATAAAATATCTTGAGGGACATATGAGAGATTTTGGACTGTGTTATTACTTATTCAGGATTCATTGAAAACTTCAGGCCTTTAGAATGAGCGGCAGTGAAGGGGTTTGGAAAGGTGGGAAGGATTCCAGCCCACTTTGGCGTCATTGATAAAGTCTGCAGGACAGTCTATGTTCTGACGACATAGCTGTGTATGGAGGCAGAGGCATGGATGAGATGGCCTTGAGCATCCTCCTCCTGGGTGTTTCCAATTTCATCTTTTAAAAAAAATATATTTTATTGAGTTTTCACAGAGGAAGAGAGAGAGGGATAGAGAGTTAGAAACACGATGAGAAAGAATCATCCATCAGCTGCCTCTTGCACACCCCCTACTGGGGATGTGCCTGCAACCCTTGCCCGGAACCGAAACTGGGACCTTTCAGTCCATAGGCTGACGCTCTATCCACTGAGCCAAACAGGCTTTGGCTCCAATTTCATCTTTGAGTAGGTCTGTCTCTCCTGCTGGTCAAAGCTCTTCTAGGAAGGTCAAGGTGAAAGGTGTCTGGGGAGGGCAGAGTATCATGACCAACAGAGGCTGGGTCCACTTCCTCCTTTTCAGGAAGGAAATTCAGACAAAAATGGACAATGGGCCAGAGAGGATAGTCCAGCAGAGAAGGAGGGAGTAGTACGAGGAGCTGTAGGCCTATAAACATTCCCTTTGATCCCCCTTATGTCTGGAGGGCGAGCTTTCTTTTTTGGCCGGCAGGGCCCTTTGTTGCAGGATTTCCTTGAACCCAAAGTAAACACAGCCAGGTCTAGGTTCCTACAGCTTCCTACAGCTCCACCTTGCCCTGTGCCTTCCTCCCAGCAGAGAGAGAGGGGCAGGTGGGTCAGCCCTCAGAGGTCAACGTCACTCACTCATCAGACGGTTGACAATGAAGGTTCACACTACAATGCATTGGCAATAGGCCTGAGAGACTGTGATCAGAGCCACAAAATAATTAGCCGCAATCATAACGATCATCCTCTGCTGGACAACCATGAGTTCCCAGGTGCTGTTTGGACACACAGGACAATGCACAGCCTGGCGGACACCCCTGTACAGAGGCGGGGAGCTACAGTTACCCACAGGCCTGTGATGCCTGTGAGACCCGGAGTCTGGCAGTCAGGACTCAGTTTTCCTTTCTCAATTTGAGTGGGGCTTATGCCCACTGGTATGAAACGAGCAGGATTCAGGCAGCGGCAGGCAGCTCTCGGCTGAAACAGGGGACCAGTGATGACATGACAACGCATTGGTATCTGGTAGTAGCTTTGTGTGTCCTGGGGATGGAGGTGTGAAGGCAAAAACAGGCTCTGGGACATTTGTGTTCTTTCAGTTGAGGATACACATGAGCTTCCAGTACCTGCTTACCAGGCCTGGCTTCACCCAGATAGGAGGCAGTAATGGCCATCCTCCCTCATCCAGGTGAAGGCAACGGGTGGTGGTGGTCCGACCTCATGGGTAACTTTTTTAAAAAAAATATTTTTTTATTGATTTTTTACAGAGAGGAAGGGAGAAGGACAGAGAGCTAGAAACATTGATGAGAGAGAAACATCAACCAGCTGCCTCTTGCACACCCCCACAACCAAAGTACATGCCCTTGACTGGGATCAAAACTGGGACCTTTCAGTCTGCAGGCGGAAGCTCTATCCACTGAGCCAAACCGGTTTCGGCCTCATGGATAACTTTGAGCCTTACAGATACCTTTGCTTTGTGAGGAGGAAGAGAAGAAGAGAAGCCTGAAATTTGGACAGGCCATTCAGCTCTCTCCCAGGATTTATGACGTCAACAGGGATGCTATTAGCTGAGCCAACACTTTATTTATAGGGAAATTCAGTTCCCCCTCCTCCCTCACAAATAAACCCACCCTCCAGGTGTCCCTTCCACCTTCCCACCGCCTCTCCCCCCCCCCCCCCCCCCGCAAAAATTGGGGAGGAGACTTCCAGCCAGGAGGCCCCTCCTCCCTGCAGTTGGAGATAGTTGCATAATCCCAATTGTGAAATACTAGAAAGGCCAGACGTAATGCACCCCGCAACTCCCCCAACTAACGGCCCCGGTTGGGGCGGGGGGTGTGGGCAGGGTCTCAGTCTGACCCTCTAACGCAGTAAAGTTCGGCATGGGGTTTTAGGGGACACTTTCCTATTCCCCTGACCCCCTCCCGGGGCGATAGGGTCCCGGGAGGCCGTGGGCACGGGGGAGTCACGCGGTCAGGCCGGCGGGCGGGCGGGCGCGGGGCACCTGTTGCTGCGCTCGGGGCGGAGGAGGCGCACCTGCCCCTGCGCGGGGCGCCCGCAGCTGAGCCGGGGCCTCGGCCGCCACGGGCTTCCTCGGGTCAGCTGACCGCCAGTGCGGAACTGAAGCCGGCCCGCCGCCGCCACGCTCTCTCTCCCTCCTCCCAGCTCCCTGCTCCCTCCTCCCAGCTCCACGCTTGGGGTCGTTCGTCCCGTCGCCATGGACGGGCTCGTCATCAGTGGAACGCAAGTAAGTGCTCCAGGCCTGCCCGCCCCGTCCACGCCCGGGTACAGCTGGTCCGGGGAGTCCCCCCCCCCCCCCCCCCCAGTTAAACAGGGCTGCCTGCTCCAACTCAGTCTGCACGTGGGAAGTCTGTCCCCTGCCCAGGCTGGTTCTGCACGTGGGAAGTCTGTCCCCTGCCCGAGGTTGATGAGGAGAGACCCCGCTTTGAGCATGGCACACCCCTTAGCTGGGGGGAGGGGAGGGAGAAGGCACCCCAAGTTGCCTCCACCTCCCTCTGTCCCTAGCGCTCACTGGCCAGGGCCAGCCCGATTTGGGGGAGCGGTCCGTGGCCGCAGCCCACCGTATTTTCCGGGGCCCACTAAAAGTTTTAATTTCTTTAACCAGAAGCAAAAAAGAACTCTGATCCAAGAGAAACTTTTTACTCTATCGTCTGTATACCAATGCGGCTGTAAAACCCGGGCTTCCCTTTTGGGGGGCATTTACTGAGCTTCGCAGATGTTGCATTTTCTCTGCGTCGAAGGCAAGACCATCCGCCAGCAGGACTGGCTTTATTGTGATGCTTGCTTATTGTGGCGGTCTGGAGCGCAAGCCCGCATATCTCCTAGGTGTGCCTGTATACACTTAGCTTTTTAATAATGGAGGAAGGAGTTCAGGAAGGCAAAGTGCCTCAGGACTCCCCAATCTCCCCGCCCCCCTAAAGACAGTGAAGTCAAGAAGCATCCTGGCAGGCGCTAGGATGAGGATCCACTACTGGCTCTGGCTCCTCCCCATAGGCCAGTGGTCAGCAAACTCAACAGAGCCAAATACCAGCAGTACAACGACTGAAATTTCTTTAGAGAGCTGAAAACCGACTTCTGCGCATGGGCCACGAGGTTTCAATCGCACTGTACGTGCGCGCCCACACGTGGTATTTTATGGAGGAGCCACACTCAAGGGGCCAAAGAGCCGCATGTGGCTCTCGAGCTGCAGTTTGCTGACCACTGCCATAGGCCCCTCTTCCAGGGCAGGCCGAAGGCTAGAGCCCTCCCATTCTCTGGAAGAGGTGTCTTTGGGAAACATCAACTCTGCAGTTTACACCGACAGCAGCGGCCCTTGCTTCACCTCAGGTGTTCTTTATCATCGCTGGAGGGCAGCGCTAGCCACTCTAGGTCCAGGTGACTGACTTGCTGGGGAAGCCAGGTCTCTCTGTTTAACCTGATTAAGCCAGCCCTCTTACTCCCCTCGTTCCCAGCACACCCAAAGAGAAATATTTCAAGGTTTTGAAACTCTCCCCTTGGATCGCCTAAGGCAGGTAGTGTCAGGCACAATTAGATTTTGAGGTTAATTTGGGCTAACGGGAATGGTTTTCCCTTCTCAGAGTTCAGAAGTGAGCAGGCCAGTGAGGTACCCGCCAGGTGGAGGGGTTAAAAATGGTGGTCTTATTGGCCCAGGCCTGGTGGTTCAGTTGGTTGGAGCATTGTCCTCTACACCCATAATGTTGCAGGTTCAATTCCCTCCCTGCCAGGGCACATACCTAGCTTGTGGGTACAGGAGGCAACTGATAGGGTTGGTGTTTTTCTCTCCCATCCATCCATGTTTTTCTCTCTCTCCCTTCCTCTTTCTTGGAAAAAAAAATCAACTAAGAAACATATCCTTGGGTGAGGATTAAAAAAACAAAACAAAAAAACCCACATGGAGGTTAGACCTTAAGTCTCTGCATTTCAGACCTACATTCTCTGGGGGTAGTTTCTTCAGCCGTATGGAGAACTTGACAATGGGGCTGACTTTCCTGTGCCCTCTTTTGCTTCCCCATTTTCCAAACTTGGTTTGCCCCATACCCCCTGCCTTTAGCCCACCGGGAACAGTCTAAGGACAAGCACTGACCTGTGGGAGAGGCATTTTTGAGCCCCCGCCAGGGGAGGAGCTGGGCAATGCCCCTGGGGCATGACATGTCCTAGAACCTAAAGACCCCAAGGGGCAGCCCTGAGGTGAGGGTCTTTTTAGCATTTTCCTCCTTGCAGTTCCTGATGACAGCCATCAAATAGCACCTTACGTGTGTCACATGGTATTTCTCAAACTTTTGTATATCCTTAAAGGGGGAGGTGGAGAGGCTGGAGAGGATTTACATGAACCCAGTGTTAATATTGTTTTTATCACAACATTGCTTAAGTATACAAAGAGTAAAACCAGACATAACTCTTTCTAAGCGCATATTTAGAGTCCTATAAAATCCAAGTAAAGGGATGGTTTAAGTATAAAGACACCAATCGTAACACTAATAAAATTAAAATAACTTAATGAGATGGATGATATTGTTCTGCTGAAACTGGGTCATTGCTTTCAACCCCTCTGTGGACTGACTGCCATTGCCCTGGTTTTTAGGAGTTCCACAGGCCTCAACTTCAAACACTTGGAGATGTAGTTCTTCTTTCACTTTCCATTTATTTGTTTAAAATATATTTGTATTGCTTTCAGAGAGGAAGGGAGAGGGAGAGAAAGATAGAAACATCAATATGAGAGAGAATCATTGAATGGCTGCCTCCTGCATGCCATACACTGGGCATTGAGCCTACAACCCAGGTGTGTGCCATCAGTGGGAATTGCACTGTGACCTCCTGGTTCATAGGTTGATGCTTAACCACTGAGCAACACTGGCCAGACTCCTTCCACTTTCTCTATAAAATATTTCATTCATCATGGATATGACTTCAGAAGGCTTGAATGAATCCTTCATATTCAGCATAAAGTTTTCAATCTTTTCCCATTAATTTATGACAAAGTAGTAGCGTCTGTACAATGGTAGACACAAATGCAAACTTGGAATTTGGACATGGAAATTTTGTGCCCAACAGACATCAGAATAGTAAATCCCTTCCATAGGGATATTGGTCTTATTCAGCTCTTTATCCAGTGGCCACTAGGTGCTGAGTTTTAAAGATGTTATCTCATTTCTGTAATATAAGTGAAATGAGGATAATATATGATTCAATGGGGATTGAATGGATAATAGCCAGGTGGTAGGCAGTTAATAAATGTTGTTACATTATTTTTAACACCTGGGAAGGCAGTTAGTATATGACTAGTGTATAGAAGACGAAACAGACTCTTCTACGGCTCATCCAAGGTAATATGGCTGGTAGTTAGCAGCAGAGGGACTTGAATTCATGCCCAGGGCTGTTTCTACTCTGACAGCTTCCAGTGGTGCAAATTTATTTTTATTAATTAAAACTTTTTGTAGAGTTGACATTCAATATTTTAGTTTCAGATGTACAGTATAGTGGTGGTTAGATAATTATACAATTTACAAAGATATCCTCTGGTCGTACCCTCTTGGCACCGTACGTAGTTATTATAATATTATTGACTCTATTACCTATATTGAACTTTACATTACCAATGACTGTTCTGTAACTACCAATTTGTGCTTCTTAATCCCTTCACCCTTTTCACCCACCTCCCCAAACCCCTCCCCTCTGGCAACCATCAGTTTGTTCTCTGTATCTATGTGTCTGCTTCTGTTTTGTTTATTCATTTATTTTGTTCTTTTGATTGCACATATAAGGGAAATCATATGGTAATTGTCTTTGACTTTTTCACTTAGCATACTACCCTCTAGGTTCATTCATGTTGCAAATGTTGGGAATGTAAATTAGGACAGCAGCTATGGAAAACAGAATAGAGGTTCCTCAAAAAGTAAAAAATGGGACTTTTTTATGACCCAGGAATTCCACTTCTGGGTATATATATATATATATGAAGAAACTCAAAACATTAATTTGAAAAAATATATGAACCACAATATTCTGTTATTTTATAATAACCACCATATGACAGCAACCCAAGTGCCATAGACAAATGGATAAAAAAACTGAGGCACACACACACACACACACACACACACACACACATATATATATATACACACACTGAAATATTACTTCCATAATAAAGAATGGATCTTACTATTTGCAACAACATGGATGGACCAGTTACTGCAAATTTAAAATCAAGGATCCCTCACCCTGGCTGGGACAGATATATAAAACTTTCTCTGTGTGACTACAGACAAACTCACCATCTCCAAAAATGTCCTGGGAGCCACACTGGTAATTTTCTGCAACCCTTGAGCGTGTATATGTGTGGGGATCCTGCCAAGACAATCTTGTCTTTCTTTCTGATATTTCTCTCCGTAGGGATCTTTAACTTGATATGTTTTAATTTCCCAGATAATGGTATTCCTTTATGCTATCATTTCACTCAGGGTAGGAGTTTTGGATTACAAACTATATAAGGTAGGCAAATTAAAAGTACAAAACTTGGTTCTTTAATATTTTGGCTTAATGCAATGACTTCTCATTTTAGATATACCCTTTTGTGACATTTAAGATTTAAAAAAAAAATCAATCTTTATTGTTCATATTATTACAAAAGTTCCTCATTTTTCCCCCCCTCTACCAGGTTTCCACCCCACCCTCTGCCCTTTCCCCACCCGCCATTGTCCTCATCCATAGGTGCACAGTTTATGTTCAGTCTCTTCCTGCACCCACCACTTCCCCCCCCCCCCCAGAATTGTCAGTCCACTCTCCTCCCGTATCTCTGATTCTATTATAATCAACAGTTAATATTGTTCATCAGGTTTTTAAATTTCCTTGTTTTTTTTTATTAATAAACTTTTATATTTTTAAGAATAAATTTTAAAATCTAATAATTTTAAACCTCGTTTTTTCTGCCCTGGGAGCTGAGAAGCAAACTTGTTTACATGTAAGCTTGCCCTTGGGCTATCAACAGGCGTTCAAATGTAATCAATAAATGAACACATTGTTTAAAGATAGCTGCTGCTGGAATTGGATTACCTGTTCTGGGTGGGAAGGGCTTGTCCTCCCCTTTCTCCATTGAAATTAAGGTGCTAGCTTTAAAACCTCTTTTTGGCAAGAGACCTTAAACTTTCAGAACTTTAAATTTTTCAGGTAGCAAATCAATTCGCATTCTTTCAAATCAATAATACCTCCACATTCCCAAGAATACACTTCAAACAAAAGACACATCCAAATAGATCAACCAACCTCATCCAGACCCCCACATAAGGCACTCACAAATCAACACCCCAGCGCTACAACAACTCAACACATCCAGATCTAAGCCTTCATCACTTGATTCAGCAGACCCTCAAGTTCCCCCAAAAGTTTCCAGCCATGTCTGAGAAGCAGTCCTGGGGCATGGGCAGGTGAGGAGCGAGTTGTACCAGGCCCGATTGCTCCGGGCCTGGCCTCTGTTGCTCCGGGCCTGGCTGCTCCCTACCCGGCTGCTCTGGGTCCAGTGACATTTAAGATTAATCTCTATGACTCTTCTTTTGTTTGCTGAAGAAGCTAACACTTTAAAAAAATATATATATTTTTATTGAGAGATAAAAAAATATATATTTTATTTATTTTTTTACAGAGAGGAAGAGAGAGGGATAGAGAGTTAGAAACATCAATGAGAGAGAATCATCGATCAGCTGCTTCTTGCACACCCCCTTCTGAGGATGTACCCGCAATCAAGGTACATGCCCTTGACCGGAATTGAACCCGGGACTTTTCAGTCCACAGGCTGACGCTCTATCCACTGAGCGAAACCGGTTTCAGCTAAGCTAACACTTTTTGGTCTGGTTCTTCTGACCTGTATCTTACATTAGGTGGGTGTGTGTTCTAAGAAGCTTCATGGCATCCTGAGAGGTAATGTTCTCTGCTGAGAAGCATTTCTTAAACAGAATCTTAGGAGTGTCAGTCCCAGTGCCTGACAGTAGCTACTGCTTTTAAGCCTGTTCCAGCTGATTTGAACCTTTCAACCTGGTTGGTTGGGTTAACTCGCATCTCTAAAAGCTTCCAGTTTACCTGAGGGTGGCTTGTCAAGTTGGTTTTCCTATTACATTTTGGAGACTTGGTCTTTATCTCTGTAGAATGGGAGCAAGATGTGCTGTTTAATTTTCTTGGGATGCTGTGCTGTTAAGACCATGCAATAAAACCAGCTGTTATGAAAGTCTTGTCAGACATGTTGTGAATGATTCAAATGCTCTGTGATGATAGTTCTCTTTAGTGTTGCTGAAGGGGAATCCTACTGAGGAAAAAGGAGAGCAAATAATCCCTCTCTTTTTCTAGTGTCTGACACTCTTTTGGAGACTTCAACATGCTGTCATGGGGTAGTTCTTGACCTTTCAGTTAGGAAGACTCAGTTTGAAGCCGAAACAGATGACAGATGTGCCATTGGCATTTGTTGATGAAGAAAATCCACATGTGGATTTGTAAGAACTCCATGGCCAAGTTGGAAGTCCTTATTTCTGGTGCAGGACATGGTCCAGACTCTATCACTAAGAAGCTCTATAATACTGGGGAGGTGTCTGGAGTCTTGGTTTCCCTGTTTAAAACATGAGGGGTTTTGACAAACCAGGTCCCTACCAGATTTAGTCCTTGGTGACTCTATGAGGAAAGAGCTCAGTTTCTATATCTAATTGTCAGCTTCTCTGCCATATAGAGGTCTTGAATGGTGATGATAAGTACAAGATGGTGTGCATGCCAGGGTGAGCGGGATGGCTTTTATGGTGAGCACCATGGGCCTGGGGATCAATGTGAACTTACAGAATAGGCTGCTGATTGATTGAGATTTATTATTATTATTTTAAATTGAGCTTTATATCCCTAGTTTCTCCTTGGTGCATGAGTTCCATCATGGCTTAGAAGCTGAAGTTAAATGATTACACAAGGAGTCCTGAAGAAAGATGAGTCTCATGTAGAAAGGGGAGAGCTTGCTAGATTGAATTCGGAACCCTGTATTTTCCTGATTCAAAATTATTTTATTGGAGTCAGCTAGTTTTCTGTCCCTTCTCCCTACTTTCTCTCTTCTGGGACTGAAGTTACTGAAGGAGTATGAATACAGGATATTGTATTATCAGTGGTTTGTACTCATCGGATAGGAGAGGACAGAGTGACGACAGGAAACAGTAAAGGTGCTAGGGTGAAGTGTGATTTGTGTTGGGTTCAGCCATAGGAAAGTGCTGTTTCTGTAATTCTAAAATGATTGAATATTAATAATTCACATGGTTAAACCTAATATCTGAGATGTCCACCATATTCTTGTTTCCCCATTAGGAATCATAACCCCCCGGGGAATCTCTTGCTCATTCCAAGATATGGTTGTCTGTATGCGTAGAAGAATGTGTATTTGTGGGGCAGGAGGAGGGAGAAGGGTCCAGGTTATAGCTGTGCGATGGGCCAGACCTTCTACCTGGCAGAATCCTACCTGGAGCCCTCAAGGGAGGCATCCTGTATCATGACTCACTGGCCAGCCCTGACCTACAGGCTTGTTGTATGGTTTTTGGAATGGTTTGCCAAACCTGTCCTCGGAGTGCTGTCTGCAAAAATGGCTTTCAAAAGCCAGGTAGTTGGAGCAGTGAGAAAACCCTCCGACCTTGTCCTAGTCAGAAGCTTTTAGGGTCACATTTTAGTTCAGCTTTTTAATATTTGGGTACGCACTAGATTAATAATATAAATAAAACAATGCCTTGGGGCACAGCTCTGCAAGCAGAGAGGTGCTGAGGGCAAAAGGCTCCTTGGAGTCGTTGCCCTGTTGTCTCTGAATCAGCTCTGTTCCGAGCGAGGCAGACACTTGATACACAGTGGTAATAAGATGGGATTGGCGGTCTGGGAAGGTTTGCTTGTCCAACCCTGTTTGTTCAGCACCACGCAGGTTGAATACTGGTAAGTGCATCTGCTGTGTCTTTATGAGGTAATGTGCATAACAGGGCATGGGGGGGGAGGAGGGGGGTTGGAGAGGGGGAGGCAGTGGAGGAGGAGAGCCAGGGGGCAGCTGTTAGAAAGGCCCCTAAGCGAGAGGCTGATTGCTGTGATTATATCACCATGTTCTGATTTTTTTTGTGGGGGGGGGCATCTGAATCCGGCCAATTTTAGTCCAATTTCCATTGTGCCGGGATTTGTCGTCTTCATACAAAGTGTCCCAGGAAAGGGGGAGCTTTTGGCAGAGTCCCTGCAGCCCCCAAAGCTGATCTGATCAGAAAAACAGCCACAAATGTGGCATTTGTGTGTGTGTGTGTGTGTGTGTGTGTGTGTGTGTGTGTCAGGAGCTTGCCTTTAAAGTTGCGGAAGCAATCATCGGATCAATGACTCAGGGCCGCGAGCAGCTGGGCGATTTCCGTTTGCCACAGCGTTTCTGTTCCATTTAACTTCCAGGTGTCCTACATCGGCCAGGACTGCAGAGAGGTTCCAGAGCACCTCGGCAGGGACTGTGGACATTTCGCCAAGAGGCTTGATCTGAGCTTCAACCTTCTGAGGTATGTAACTTCCACAAGATGCAGACCAGGCCTGGGGGACCCAGTGCCCCTGGTAACAGCTGGCAGGTAAGTGACCCGTTCTGGCTCGGCACAGGGTGCAGGGACCTGAGACGCACCCAGAGGTTTGACTCTACTTGGAATGATTCTTTGGGTCACCCGCCTTGTGCCACTGAGGAAGCAGTGAGCATGGGCATCTTCCTTAGGAGTTCTTAGGAGAGTTTCGCTTTGCTCTCTTCCTTTCTCACTGATACTCACGCAGGCAAACAAGATAGAATACGGTTGGGGGAGGAATGCGATGGGGCCAGCACGTGTTTGGAGGGTGTTTAGGAATGCTCTTCCGGACATTCCCCAAATCACAGGTAGGGTTGTACGTGTGTGTTTTCTTTCTTTGACTTTTTTATGAATTGGAACCTTAAATACTTGTGATGATGATTTCTCCCAGATGGTATTTCAAAGTAACTCAAATGCAGTTGGCAGGGGGTGGGCGGGAGGGAACACGTGAACCACTGCTCCAGTCTTGGCAAAAGGCAAGTGTGACCTTCTGGATTATTCTGATGGAGAATAGTTAGCTAATTTCTCCCTGAAGAGTTTTGAATTGCGGCTGGTCTGGGGGCAGGAAGAAGGAGTTACTTGGAAAGCAGGTATCAGGGGGATCCAAGAGCAGGGGTGGACATTTCACCAAGGGTGGTGCTTTTTCCTAGGCAGCTGGTCCCACGGAGGGGGTTCCCCTAGGTGCCTGTCCTCCTGAGAACAATGTTATCCTCCAATGGAACCAACTGTCTCGTGGTGGAAGGATTGACGAGGACCCCAAACCCCACCCCAGGGCTCAGGCACTCTCCTCCTTCCATGCCTTGGAGTTCCTCTCTCTCAGCTTCTGAGTCAGGACACTTGGGAATTAAGAATTTGAGAGAAAATGGACAAAACTCAGGGCATAAAAGCATCAGTGGGTAGAGGTGTGCCAGCAGGGTTGCTTTGGAAGGCCATCAGGGGCACGTGACCATGAGATGCCTCATTCAGGGAAGGGGCGTCCAGAGCGTTATGTAAGGAGTGGGTACTGTGTGCATTCTCTCCTTGACTCCCAAAGGGTTTGCATGCTTCTGGGGAGATGTGGAAACTGAGAAGTTGCAAAGTAATGCATAGTGATGAGAGGATGCTAGACAAATGCTGACTCTGAAGAAATGAAGGATGTTGTTTGATCCCAGTGCCCAAGGAAAGGATGGGGTACACAGCCTGGTGGGATCAGCCTTAGACACGTGCTCCCCTCAAACAGCTCCCCAGCATGCACTGAGGAAAAGGGCCCTTTTGCTGGGGCATCGGAAGGAAGAACTGTGACCGGCCTCTAGGGGCTCAGGCTGTGGCTGCCTTGCTCTTGAGAGCCCGGACGTGGGTTTGAGGAGGCTGGGCCCCATGAAGAGGGAGTGTGTCAGTGGGAACATGTCATGGGGCTGGGCTGGCAGGTCTGAGGAAACAGAGGCGGCTTTGTCACTGTCGGTGGCCCTCTTCATTTGGCGGAGAAGGGGCTGGACCCTGGGAGGGGTGGTTGTGTGTGTGTGTGTGTGTGTGTGTGTGTGTGTGTGTGTGGTGAATGGGGTTGGTGGTGAGAAGGGGCTCTTGGCCTTGAGGGGCTGTAAGGATTAATCAGAGGAAACGATGGGTGCTGAAGGCAGGGACATTTCGTGAGAGGAAGGCCAGTAAAATAGGTTCAGAAGGAGAGAAGTTATGATACTTATTTTTAGAGAAGTTTCCATAGTGTGGAGTTTGAGGATCTTATCACATGTGGTCAGGAGCCTATTCTTGTCGGTGTTGTGGTCAGTGTGTGAACTGCACCCTGGCTTCTGGCTGATCAGGGCAGAGATGAGCAAAAGAACAGTGAGGTCTAAGGTTCGGGAAGGGTTCGCACTGAGACTTGGTTAAGCTGGAGGGAGTGGCAGACAGAATGGACCATAACGGATAAAAGCAATCCTGACTTGACATGAGTAGGATTGAGATTGGACCCTCTTTGACCGTCTTACTTACCTAAGAGCAGGGTGAGGGGTGGCAGCACTATCTCTCTTGGGTGTGAGAGGAAGATGTGAGTGTATGGAGGCACTGGCGTCTCTTTGCGTTTTCAGCTACAAAGAAATTAAAGATGTTTTAGATGCTTAGATAATTCTTCATTAAAAAAAAAAAAAGTGAAAGGAGAGAGAATATAGAAAAGAGAAGAGAAAGATGACCATAAACTTACCTCCTGAGTAAGTAGGCAGGTAATAGAGGATCCAAGCTCACCAGGCTGCGGGGATTATCATGTCTGAGGGAAATATTGTGAATTCCCATCCCACACTCTGTGTTTCTCCCTAACCATACTGTTTCCACTGGACTTGGGAGAGCTTATCTCCTGGCCAGTTTGCCCTGCACCCCGACTCCCCACAGCCCCTGCTCTACCCATCCCTGTTCTGTTGTCTGCTGTTCTCCCTCTTGGCAGCTTGTCCGGCCCCCACTCGGGACACTGCCTTCATTTCTCCAAAGCCCAACAATACAGTATTACTATGTATTATAGACTGTTACTGGCAGTGGAAGGTGTCCTGGTGAAGGGGGAAGTGGCAGTGGGAGCGCACAGCAGCAGACACGTTTGGGATGGCGCTATTCCTGCAAATCCCTGGCTATGCCTCGCATTAAGTCAGGCTCTCTGCATGTGCCCAGGTGCTCCTCTCCCCCGGCCCCTTCTCTCCTCTCCATGTTACTTCCCTCTTCCCAGAGCTGTACACACAACATGCTTCTTCACTGTGTTACATACAAGAATGTCACCCCTCACCCCCTTTTAAAACTTCTCTGCAGGTTTCCTTTTCACACCCAGAGAGGCCCGCCAGGGCACTGCCTTAGATAGAGCACTGTCCCCAGTACACAATTTACTATTCCTGTAGACTGTAAAATCAGCGGCAGTCCATTTGTATTTTAGGGCATAATTTGTTTTCAGCCAAGGAGTTCTATTTATTCTTTTTTATTTTTTAAATATATTTTATTGATTTTTTTACAGAGAGGAAGGGAGAGAGATAGAGAGCTAGAAATGTTGATGAGAGAGAAACATCGACCAGCTGCCTCCTGCACCCCCCCCCCCCACCGGGGATGTACCCGCAACCAATGTACATGACCTTGACCAGAATCGAACCCGGGACCTTTTAGTCTGCAGACTGACGCTCTACCCCTGAGCCAAACTGGCTTCGGCAATTTTATTCTTTTTTTGAATAGTATATATGCACATGGCACAGCTTCAAATGGTGAGGAGAAAGTCTCCCTTGCACTTACGTCCTTTAGCCTCCCAGTTCTCCTCTGCACGACTCGCTTTTTGTCATCTCCCAGAGATGTTCCGTGCCTATGCCAACATGTGAGTTTCTTCTTGTGTGGCCTCATTCGGATTACTCTTGCCAAGATGTTAGTTAAACGGGAGGCACCATGCTTCAATTAACCTCTCACATTAGGAACACCCTTCTCTATCGTCTTACCATTAATTCATAGCCAAATGCCATCGTCATCATTAATCCTGCGTATGAAGTGATGGTTCTGCTGATTCCCCTATAGCCTCCTGCATGTGCTGGAGGGAAGGGTGGTTATGGGTATACTAGTAGCTCTGCACATGAATTGGTGCGCCAGTAGCTCACCAGTAGCTCACTGCGGCCTCCAGTAGCTTTCCACCCGCTGTCCCACCCTCCTGTAGCTTCTCTCCCCCCCCACCCCCCCCCCCCCCGTCCCCTCGGCCCCTGTCCCCTCATAGCTTGCTGCCCTGCCCCCCTCTTGTAGCTCTCCTCTGCCCGCTTGTAGTTCGCTGCCCCACCCTCCTGCTGATCCGTGATCTGGTCGTTAAGAGGTCAGTCGTTATGCCTCATGGTGTAACGACCATTTGTATATTACATCTTTATCATATAGGATAAGCTCTGACCTTTTAAGTCACTGAATATTTTTTCCTTTGCATTACACTTCAGCCTTCTCTCTGCATTCATTATCATGAGTCCTCCTCTCCTCCTTTGGGTTTGTCCGGTATGAAACTGGTTATGCCTCCATGCGGAAGGTCATGGACATTCAGGATGTGCTGTTTCTATGACTCTGTCCTGGGGGGATGAAAGTCCCTGGAATTTTGTGTGCCCTGTCAGGTTGAAAGTTGGAAAGGGAAGCAAGACAATAGGTCCAAATATAATTTCTAGCTCCTTTAAAAGACTCAAAACATTCATCTCTTCCACCTTTCCTCCCAGATCTCATTCTTCTGGACATGACTCCTGAGGGGCAGGGTCCTGTCATCCACCCCGGAATGGGGATAGAAGGTTCAGGGAGCTAACCCGCTGACAGAAGTAGTGTTGCCCCTGAACTTGAATGCATTAATGATCATGAGTCCATTGTCTACAGGTGCATGAAATTGTACTTTAGATTTTATTTTTTGAGTACTTTTCTTTTTAGCAAGAACAATGATCAATTTAGAAATCTTGGAAAACTCAGGAAGGTATGAAAAAAACCCTCTCAAACCACTGATAATCTCACAAGTTAAGCTAGAGGAAATCCCCATTGGTACCACTTGTCTTTATTAATGCCAATTATCTTAAAAATGATGCTCTTGCTTACACTGTGTTGGAAGTATTTTCCATCTCAATGAATTCTCCAGTATAAGTTTTAATGTTTTCTTATTTTTTTCCAGTGTTGAGTATTTACTAGTTGATTGTTCCCAGATTATTTTATTTTTTATTGTTATAAACATCTCTATTATGAGTATCAGTGTAATACTGATTGATGAATATGTCTCTGGTTAATTGCTTGGGACATCTTCCTGGAGACAGAACTGTCAGAGGGCTTCGCTGCAGATGTCAGATTGTCCTTAAGAGAGGTCATGACAATTCCCGCTACTGAGAGTATTTGAATATCCATTATTCCAAGTTCTTCTTGGAGCTTGTTTTTGAGGTTTTCACATTTTACTTTTACTTGGCTGATCAATAAAGAGATCCTTAGTGTTAGCCGGGGCTGGTCCCTTAATCTGCTCTGGCAGAGAGACCTCGTTAATGCATTGTTCCAGCTTCAGTTTTCCTTCTCCCCACGACTGGGAAAGGGCAG